TTGGAAGGCTGTCGGTTAGCGCTACGGAGATGTGTTAAAGTTAGGTGTCAGGACGTCGAATGTCTCAGTACTCTGTCAGTTTTGTGCCTAGTTATTGCACTTTCTGACTGTATATAGTATCATGTTACAGTGATGGAGAGTTACTCGAAACTCGTACCCATATGTCCTTTTCTATTTTACATTATTATTATTATTATTATTTTACAAGAAGTCGGAGGCGGATAATACTTTAATAACGAAGGTACGTGTTGGGTCGTAAGTATCCACGCAAACACACATCCAGTCAAAATAAGGCACTTGTCAAAGTATCCGAACGTTTTCGGTCCCTTCTCATCAAGGATCATACAGGGAATGGCTCAAGTTGGAAAGACTAAAACTTATATAGCGTAAAGATATGAGATAACAACACTCGTGACAAGGTGGAAAAAGTATCAAGTTCAGCACGACACAAAACTCGAAGGAAATAATAATAGCGACAAGAACATAGTGAGCAAATTAAGTTACATTGTTAACACCTCGACGAGGAGTAACACCAAACAATTGTAGCGACAACACATTTTCTTTCTGTACGCAAAGTTCAGGATCTAACTTACGGATCTAACTGTTCTCAATATTGTCACGTGGTAGATGTGCGTTACATCTGGCTGTGTTAGAAGCTTTGTATATCCGTAAGTTAGATCCTGAACTTTGCGTACAGAAAGAAAATGTGTTGTCGCTACAATTGTTTGGTGTTACTCCTCGTCGAGGTGTTAACAATGTAACTTAATTTGCTCACTATGTTCTTGTCGCTATTATTATTTCCTTCGAGTTTTGTGTCGTGCTGAACTTGATACTTTTTCCACCTTGTCACGAGTGTTGTTATCTCATATCTTTACGCTATATAAGTTTTAGTCTTTCCAACTTGAGCCATTCCCTGTATGATCCTTGATGAGAAGGGACCGAAAACGTTCGGATACTTTGACAAGTGCCTTATTTTGACTGGATGTGTGTTTGCGTGGATACTTACGACCCAACACGTACCTTCGTTATTAAATTATTATTATTATTATTATTATTATTATTGTAAAATAGAAAAGGACATATGGATACGAGTTTAGAGTAACTCTCCATCACTGTAACATGATACTATATACAGTCAGAAAGTGCAATAACTAGGCACAAAACTGACAGAGTACTGAGACATTCGACGTCCTGACACCTAACTTTAACACATCTCCGTAGCGCTAACCGACAGCCTTCCAACTTGGAAGGTTCAAGGTTATGGAAAAGACCAAAGAGGGGAAGGCAAGCGCAACGAAAACGAGCAAAAGCTACAGTCCCAACGGAACAAAGAATGTCGATTGTTACTGGACGATGACGAAACTCGTATCCATATGTCCTTTTCTATTTTACATTTATTTATGGCTCAACATCCGAGTTTCAAATTATTATTATTATTATTATTATTATTATTAAACTCGGATGTTGAGCCATAAATAAATGTAGAAGAGAAAAGGACATATGGATACGAGTTGAGAGTAACTCTCCATCACTGTAACATGATACTTTATACAGTCAGAATGTTTCAGTACTCTGTCAGTTTTGTGCCTAGTTATTGCACTTTCTGACTGTATAAAGTATCATGTTACAGTGATGGAGAGTTACTCTCAACTCGTATCCATATGTCCTTTTCTCTTCTACAATTATTATTATTATTATTATTATTATTATTATTATTAAGCCACGACCTTGGGTGTACTCGTATGCTACATACATGTGCAGTTGCGCTAAACTGAAATCTGGCCAAAAGTGCTAAGCTGGCGCCCTCAACCTGCACCGGCCTTGGTTGCCTGGAAGTGGCACGAATGTGGCTGGACGTACACCTGCACCGGCCTTGGTTGCCTGGAAGTGGCACGAATGTGGCTGGACGTACACCTGCACCGGCCTTGGTTGCCTGGAAGTGGCACGAATGTGGCTGGACGTACACCTGCACCGGCCTTGGTTGCCTGGAAGTGGCACGAATGTGGCTGGACGTACACCTGCACCGGCCTTGGTTGCCTGGAAGTGGCACGAATGTGGCTGGACGTACACCTGCACTGGCCTTGGTTGCCTGGAAGTGGCACGAATGTGGCTGGACGTACACCTGCACGGGCCTTGGTTGCCTGGAAGTGGCACGAATGTGGCTGGACGTACACCTGCACCGGCTGTTGTGAAACGACAAGTTCTCGAGAGTGAAAGGCCTTCTCACTTGTGACATTGTGTTCGTTTCAATGCAGCTGTATGCCGACTCCGCCGTACCGCTGATGATTACGACGTAGTATACGCTACATGCGCTATGTGCGGTTTGCTGTGTGCGCTGTAGTTGTATGTTGTATGTGTATGCTTTTCTCATATACGCTGTCATTTTCACGCTATAACTACCTGGTGGTTTTAGTGTTAGTTCATTCAGTTGTTCATTCAGTCATTCATTGTTCATTGTTATTAGTCGATGGAAGTGAAATACAGTGGTCCCTCTATAATCCGGCACCATTTGTGCCACGAAAATCTGCTGGATTAGGGAGGGTGCTGGATTAACAAATCTGATTTACTGCTGCAATGTGCATGAAGAGGACATTTTGGCTACTGGAAATTGTGCTGGTTTATCGAGGGTGCTGGATTATAAAGTGCCGGATTAGAGAGGGACGACTGTATACTGTTGAGAATAAATAGTTGTCCTCGTGCCGTGTGGGGTCGTTCGTTCCTGATACTTTAGAGAACCAGAGGGTTCACAACACCGGCCTTGGTTGCCTGGAAGTGGCACGAATGTGGCTGGACGTACACCTGCACGGGCCTTGGTTGCCTGGAAGTGGCACGAATGTGGCTGGACGTACACCTGCACCGGCCTTGGTTGCCTGGAAGTGGCACGAATATGGCTGGACGTACACATGTAAAGATACAGTACATGTGCAGATGCAATGATGTAAACTGGGATCGGAACTGCTCCAGGCCGCCAGCTTTGTACTTTGGGTCGTATTTCAGTGAGCACAGCAACTGTAGCATACTAGTAGGTTTTGTATGATGCAGTGCATGTTCTGTTTCAATTCATTTCCGTGTTTTTCATCACTTTATTGCAACACTGATTTCAGTGCTCCGATTTGCGAAGACCAGCTCTCCTCCCCCCCCCCCCCCCCCTCTCTATGTTTGTTCGAGGGGCACTCAAGTCATGCAGTTATGTGATTACAGTGTAGCATTCACGTTTCCTGGTAAAACGTGTTCAGATACGAAGTTTGACTGGTACACAGTTCCTGGGTTCCTGGGTACCTGGGTAGGTCTACCTGGGCGAATTATCTGTCCAGTTGTACTAATCTTGTACATAGTCCAACCGCTATCTTCAAACACGCAGAATTTTCTTTCAACGTTTCCTCGTTCTAGCCTTGCCAGATTACTGAGCAGCCAGCGTGTGGCTGTGAGCGTTGACACGTACACCCTCCGTTTCTTACCGTGTTGTGGAGTGACTTCACTGCACGGTGCACTTGACAATCCGTGTTCTGTGTACCATCATCATGATCATCTCATGTCCTCTCTTGAAGCTTGGTCTCTCTGGCTCTCCAACAGTCACAGAACTGACTGTACATCCACTGACAGCAGCAGCAGCAGTGGCAGCGGAACAAGCCCTGCAGTAGATCTGCAATAAACCCGCGGAACAAGCCCTGCAGTAGATCTGCAATAAACCCGAGGAACAAGCCCTGCAGTAGATCTGCAATAAACTTGTGCTCTTGGTTCTTGCCATACAGCAAAGGCAAACTGTCGCCACTAGAATGAAGTTCTGAAAAAGCCACTGAAATATTCTGCTGCAGAAAAGAGAACATGAAACTCAATCCGTTCGCATTTCCAGGAACGCATCGACTTTCACTGATACGGACACAATTGTATTGAAAATGCTCGATAAGGAACCGAAACTTGTAGTCTCGGCAAGTTTCTATCGACTCTCGTATTTCGATTCTAGCGCAGATATACAATGATTATGATTGTATTATGATACATGTAGTAGCAGGTACATGTACAGCACTGGTACGGTCCTTGCGCTTGTCGAGCGAGCGGGAATATCTAGGTCATCCAGTCGCAAACAAGATCCTTTGCGGGTGCGGACACGGGGAAATCCCTTGAATCCACTGCACTACACAATCATCACCCGGCCCTGACTGACAAGTAACGCACGCGCACGTACAGTTCTGACAAGGCTAGGCCTAGGGCTAGGGGCAGCCTAGTCAAGGACCCGGTACATGGGTACGAGTACTGCGGTAGGGGCATCAGATCGACCTCATGAATGAAGTAGCGCCACCGTTCGAGCGTGTGTGTGCGCGCGCGCGTGCGTGTGTGTTTGTGTGCGCGCGTGTGTATGTGTGTGTATGAGGTGGAAGGGCCATGTAACGAGGCCTGGCGCAAATATTCATGAGGTCCAATTCTTTGTCCATGGCATGGTTGCTGTCACTCTCTCCTTTGTAGCTTGGTATTATTTCACCCACTCCAGATCTCCGCTGCTGCTTTGAAGATGGTAAATTTTTTATATACATCTGCATGTAAGAAAGAACCAGTCAACGACCATCATAGCTATGTACCAATACTGGCTAAGAGCAAGCTTCACTTGACACAAGTGAAATCCGGGTAGCTACATGTACGTACACAATAGGAGTCTAGCTAAGCCCATTTCTGCGTTTGTCACAAGCACCAAGTCGTTGCTAGGGTTCCCAGTAAACAGGCAACGCCTGTTGGGAGTTCCCTAGTAAAATAATAAATTCTACTACTACTCAAGCTGCGGACAGAACTGTTTCGTTCTTCAAGTTGTGGACTCATCAGCGCAGCACAGAGAAAACGAGGCCGAACCTGATAGCAATGAAAAATACGTTTTCCAAAGCCAGAGGCCGTGGTGTACCTTGCCAGAGTGCTCAAACTGACAAGTCAGTGAGCTCTGCACAACGCAAACAGAAAATGCACTACCCCAGGCACATGAGAGTGCTCAAACTGACAAGTCAGTGAGCTCTGGATAACGCAAACAGAAAATGCACTACCCCACACGAGAGTGCTCAACTGCTACAAGAGCAGGAGCGAAATACTCAAATTCTACTACTACTACATGTACTATTACTACTAGCAACATGTACTATTACTACTAGCAACATGTACTATTACTACTAGCTACATTGTAGATAGGATGAGAACTATACGATGTCATGATAATGTGTACTATCAATACAAAACTATCAACTGCAGCATACATGCCATACATGATAATGTGTACTATCAATACAAAACTATCAACTGCAGCATACATGCTATGCATGATAATGTGTACTATCAATACAAAACTATCAACTGCAGCATACATGCCATACATGATAATGTGTACTATCAATACAAAACTATCAACTGCAGCATACATGCCATACATGATAATGTGTACTATCAATACAAAACTATCAACTGCAGCATACATGCCATACATGATAATGTGTACTATCAATACAAAACTATCAACTGCAGCATACATGCCATACATGATAATGTGTACTATCAATACAAAACTATCAACTGCAGCATACATGCCATACATGATAATGTGTACTATCAATACAAAACTATCAACTGCAGCATACATGCCATACATGATAATGTGTACTATCAATACAAAACTATCAACTGCAGCATACATGCCATACATGATAATGTGTACTATCAATACAAAACTATCAACTGCAGCATACATGCCATACATGATAATGTGTACTATCAATACAAAACTATCAACTGCAGCATACATGCCATACATGATAATGTGTACTATCAATACAAAACTATCAACTGCAGCATACATGCCATACATGATAATGTGTACTATCAATACAAAACTATCAACTGCAGCATACATGCTATACATGATAATGTGTACTATCAATACAAAACTATCAACTGCAGCATACATGCCATACATGATAATGTGTACTATCAATACAAAACTATCAACTGCAGCATACATGCTATACATGATAATGTGTACTATCAATACAAAACTATCAACTGCAGCATACATGCCATACATGATAATGTGTACTATCAATACAAAACTATCAACTGCAGCATACATGCCATACATGATAATGTGTACTATCAATACAAAACTATCAACTGCAGCATACATGCCATACATGATAATGTGTACTATCAATACAAAACTATCAACTGCAGCATACATGCCATACATGATAATGTGTACTATCAATACAAAACTATCAACTGCAGCATACATGCCATACATGATAATGTGTACTATCAATACAAAACTATCAACTGCAGCATACATGCCATACATGATAATGTGTACTATCAATACAAAACTATCAACTGCAGCATACATGCCATACATGATAATGTGTACTATCAATACAAAACTATCAACTGCAGCATACATGCCATACATGATAATGTGTACGATCAATACAAAACTATCAACTGCAGCATACATGCCATACATGATAATGTGTACTATCAATACAAAACTATCAACTGCAGCATACATGCCATACATGATAATGTGTACTATCAATACAAAACTATCAACTGCAGCATACATGCCATACATGATAATGTGTACTATCAATACAAAACTATCAACTGCAGCATACATGCCATACATGATAATGTGTACTATCAATACAAAACTATCAACTGCAGCATACATGCCATACATGATAATGTGTACTATCAATACAAAACTATCAACTGCAGCATACATGCCATACATGATAATGTGTACTATCAATACAAAACTATCAACTGCAGCATACATGCCATACATGATAATGTGTACTATCAATACAAAACTATCAACTGCAGCATACATGCTATGCATGATAATGTGTACTATCAATACAAAACTATCAACTGCAGCATACATGCCATACATGATAATGTGTACTATCAATACAAAACTATCAACTGCAGCATACATGCCATACATGATAATGTGTACTATCAATACAAAACTATCAACTGCAGCATACATGCCATACATGATAATGTGTACTATCAATACAAAACTATCAACTGCAGCATACATGCCATACATGATAATGTGTACTATCAATACAAAACTATCAACTGCAGCATACATGCCATACATGATAATGTGTACTATCAATACAAAACTATCAACTGCAGCATACATGCCATACATGATAATGTGTACTATCAATACAAAACTATCAACTGCAGCATACATGCCATACATGATAATGTGTACTATCAATACAAAACTATCAACTGCAGCATACATGCCATACATGATAATGTGTACTATCAATACAAAACTATCAACTGCAGCATACATGCCATACATGATAATGTGTACTATCAATACAAAACTATCAACTGCAGCATACATGCCATACATGATAATGTGTACTATCAATACAAAACTATCAACTGCAGCATACATGCCATACATGATAATGTGTACTATCAATACAAAACTATCAACTGCAGCATACATGCCATACATGATAATGTGTACTATCAATACAAAACTATCAACTGCAGCATACATGCCATACATGATAATGTGTACTATCAATACAAAACTATCAACTGCAGCATACATGCCATACATGATAATGTGTACTATCAATACAAAACTATCAACTGCAGCATACATGCCATACATGATAATGTGTACTATCAATACAAAACTATCAACTGCAGCATACATGCCATACATGATAATGTGTACTATCAATACAAAACTATCAACTGCAGCATACATGCCATACATGATAATGTGTACTATCAATACAAAACTATCAACTGCAGCATACATGCTATACATGCAGTAAGTAACACTGTAACGAGAGAGCTTGGAAGCTCAGGGCCCTACGCTATGCTTTTTTGCCTAGATGACCTAGACAAAAAAAGCATAGGGATGTTATAAATTCTTTCAAAAAATCCTTATTTTTAAAGACATAACCTGGGATTCGAACCCGCACTATCGCGCGCCCTGCATGCATCCACCGATACACTTCGCATACATACTAATTCTTTCAAGTTGTTTCACATTGTGATCTTGCATTTGAAAGCCCTATTTGAATATGCATCGTGGCCAGCCGTCTTTGATGGCACGGTACGGTAGGGGATAGGTACGGGACAGGTACGATCGAGGGTAATACGACACCGTCTCCCGTACCGTACCATCAAACACAGCTGGCCACATACAGCTGCCCGCAATATTCAAATAGGGCTTTCAAACGCAAGATTAACGTGAAGCAACTTGGAAGAATGGGTATGAATGCGAAGTGTATGGGGGAATGCATGTAAGGCGATAGTGCGGGTTCGAATCCCAGGATATGCCTGAAAAAAAAGGAGAATTCAACAATTTATAACAACCTATGCTTTTTTGCCGTCAGATACGGATAGCGCCAGGCGTGACACAAACAAACACACAAACAAACACCAAATTAAAGCTGTGTGGACCCTGGCTAGCGCCAGACGTTACTGAAGTAACGTCTTCTGCATAGCTACGGGAATAAACACAAATGCACACCCTGCAGCTGGATCAGATAACTCACAACGAATGCACAGAGCCCACACATGATTGCCATTTTTGTACTGACATAAGACAAAGATGATCTATCATGACATCATGACACTGTAACATAATTACATCATGACACCGTAACATCATGACATCATAACATCATGACATCATAACATCATAACATTATGACATCATGACACCGTAACATCATGACATCACAGAGCCCGCAGACACCACGCATGCATAGTATATGTGTGGTTCAAACAGAAAGATAAATTCTCTTCTTATAATGAAAGCGAAAAGGAATGAATTCGCCGACAGTCATTTACTATGGCATTGCATTACGTTTCAGGATTAATATCACATCGAAATCAGCTCATCAAACCTCGCCTTTGCATCTCTCAACAACATTGCTCCACCGGCGGCTGAATATCCATTCCAGCGGTTACAGAAGACACATCAATGAAAATACATTGTGACGCCGATTACTGAGGATGAGCTGTAACCGTCACTGAAGTCTTGTCTGTTTCCGTAGTTACTGGAGAATCTTGAAGAAGTACTCAACCTAGGGGAATGAATGTAGTAGAGGAAAATATGGAACCCGCGATCACAGGACGCACACACATACACACATGCACGAACACACCCATACACACACCCATACACATGCACACACATACGTGCGTGGTGCATGCACACACACACACACACACATACGCGCGCACACACACATACACAAGAGCACACACAAACAATGTCTACCCATGCACTCCAGGGCACTTTGTACATTTCATTCCTTCGTTATCTTAGCTCTCTTTCTGAACTCTCCTAACTGTCACAACTGCTGCTTGGAGTGTGAGTCGGAGAGCAGCGAAAGAAGCAGTTGTACAAGAGCAATGACAAAATGGTGCTCAGATCCACAATCATGAGATTAATACAAGCATGCTCTACCGAGCGTGCAACAGAACCTATTCCTTTCTCGATGGGAAGGAGAGTTCAGACAGAATACCATAAGAGAGATTGTGTGAGAAACGCAGATGCGACTTCTGCATATACAGGCACATCTGAACATTGCAGCATTCTCAGGGGTAGACCCACACCGCAGACAAAAGGTTTGTCTAGATAGGCAGACAAGATATGGAAAGGAGTTATGGGAATAGGACATATGTCCTGTTCCTAAACGTTATTCACTGACATTCCCTATGAACTCCAAGATTAGCGAGAGAATGAGACCAGACCAGAATAGGACCAAAACCGGAGTGAGACCAAAACCGGAATAAGACCAAAACCAGAATAAGACCAAAACCAGAATGAGACCAGACCAGAATAAGGTTGTATTTGTTCGGTCATTCCGGAATGAGCATGGAATGCAGTCGATACCCATCACAGAGTCGGAATGAGAGTAGCAAACAAACGCGCGTGCATGCACTCGGGAATCTGGGAAACGTTTTGCGAGACTCCGGAAACGGCGGTCGAATGTTTTGTTTTTGAGATCTACGAGTTGTTTTTTGCAGCCTTGCAAAGATAAGCTGGTAGCCTAAGAATGTTGTGGTTGCTATCTTGCTTCCGTACGTTTCTAGTTCTGCATGCCCCTCCAACGATCATGGTGAAGGAGCGGCCAAACTCGGCATAGGTCTACGAGCTCCACTGGGGTACACGCCTGTACGCGACGTTTGGCCGCTACTTCATCATGACTATTCTGTATTCGACCTCGTATCAGTCACAGAAACGGCTCTAGCTCTTCACGGATTGCAAGCGCTTGTTTGACGGAGGTGCGGTTGTAAGAAGAAGTCGAGTGGTAGGTTCAGTGCCTGTGTGGGTGATTATGTGCTATGCATTGGTGGGACTGCCTCCCTGACAGAGTGATTCTGGAAGCCCTGCTCGACGATGAGGAGGAGAGGTGCGAGGGCATCAATCCAGTTCTTGTCCCGACCGAACGCTGTCTCAGGCAGCGAAGGGTAAAAAATGCCAGAAACCAGTAGCGGTAACTATCCCGAGGTTACAGTATAAGCCTACACCCTGGACGATTTTCGGCAACATTCCGTCTGTCGACAATCGCGTTTGAGGTTTTGTTGGCAGAGGTATGCAATAGTGACAGCCCCCAGTGGCCGCCACATATTTTCAATCCGCTCGGAATGAGCACTCATTCCACTTTTTTCTTTGGAATCGCCAGAATCGATTCTGCCCCCTTCATTCCGTGACCGGAATCGGAATTGCACGGAACACAGGCGCGTACGCAGGGGGGGGGGGGGGTTCCCGTTGCCCGGAAACCCCCCAAATGTTCCAAACGAGCAACGTTTTTGGGCATATTTTGGTAGGGCGCACGATCGATCTAGCAAGAATGCAAAACTTCAACAGATCGTAACTCAGTCAAATCCTGCTCAAATCCAACAATCCAAATATCCAGGTCGAATAGAAAACTCTCAGCTGTCGGTTGAAACAATTTGCGATGCGCTGCAAGCAATATCTCTTGAGATAAATTGTTCGTTTAAGTTGAGCCGCGATCTCGCAATTTCAAAAGCACACAGCGCGACTCGAGTATCGAGAATTATTTGAGACTTTTCGTCACGCTGACTTGCTCAAATTTGCAGGGGCTTCACTTGTGATATTTTCAAGAGTACACAGCAAAAATCGAAACTATGCGATCAAGAAAAAAGAAATCGCTGGAGCAGGACGCGTATTGGCCAGCCTTTGGGCCAGTTTGGGGCATTTGTTCGCACCGTCGCTGCACTCTACCGCTATAGCAATATAGCGTTGGATATGTACATGACTGTACTGTGTCCTGGTTATCATGATCCACCTCATTCTCTCCCTGGCCCTGGTACCTTTCCAATTCCAGGATTGGAAGGCTAAGATAATGAAGATTGAGTGAGTAGATATAGAACTGACGTTATGATCCAAAGAACACGAAAAAATTGCATAATTTTGAAAAATTCCTAGGGCTCTTTAGAAAGGGTTAAAACGAGTCACTGTTTGCGATTCGGTTGGAAACTCCCCTAGAGGTGACCCTGCGTACTCGCCTGGAACAAACGCTGTCCGGTGCATCAAACAAACGCACCACAACCAAAGCACAGCGGAATGACTTTGGAATGGTGTCGGAATGACACCGAACAAACGCAACCTAAGACCAGACCAGAATAAGACCAGACCGGAATGAGACCAGACCAGAATAAGACCAGACCCGAATAAGACCAGACCAGAATGAGACCAGACCGGAATGAGATCAGACCAGAATGAGACCAGACCGGAATGAGACCAGACCGGAATGAGACCAGACCAGAATAAGACCAGACCAGAATAAGACCAGACGAGAATAATACCAGACGAGAATAAGACCAGACCAGAATGAGACCAGACCGGAATAAGACCAGACCGGAATGAGACCAGACCGGAATGAGACCAGACCGGAATGAGACCAGACCGGGATGAGACCAGACCGGATTGAGACCAGACCGGAATGAGACCAGACCGGGATGAGACCAGACCGGATCAAGACCAGACCGGAATAAGACCAGACCAGAATGAGACTAGACCGGAATGAGACCAGACCGGAATAAGACCAGACCAGAATAAGACCAGACCGGAATGAGACCAGACCGGAATAAGACCAGACCAGAATAAGACCAACCGGAATGAGACCAGACCGAAATGAGACCCGACCGGAATAAGACCAGACCGGAATAAGACCAGACCGGAATGAGACCAGACCGGAATGAGACCCGACCGGAATAAGACCAGACCGGAATGAGACCAGACCGGAATGAGACCAGACCAGAATACGACCAGACCGGAATGAGACCAGACCGGAATGAGACCAGACCGGAATGAGGCCAGACCGGAATGAGACCAGACAGGAATGAGACCAGACCGGAATGAGATCAGACCGGAATAAGACCAGACCGGAATGAGACCAGACCGGAATGAGACCAGACCGGAATGAGATCAGACCGGAATAAGA